CATCACCTCGGATCTGTTCCCTGGCATCAAGCTACCAGAGCCTGACTACGTGGCCCTGAATGAGGCAGTCAGGCAAAACTGCGATAAGATGAACCTCCAGTGCACTCCATTCTTCCTGGAGAAGATGCAGCAGATTTATGAGATGATGATAGTGCGTCACGGCTACATGATTGTTGGTGAACCCTTTGGTGGCAAGACTTCTGCCTACAGAGTGCTGGCAGGAGCACTGGGAGATCTGCATGAGAAGGTAGGAATTGGAAAGATTATTATGATTATGTCTGATGGAGAAAACCTTGTTAATTCACATACATTTGAAGTCTGTTATAGTTCACCTAAAAATTTAAGTTTTGCATTTAATTACTAAGACTTTTCAGGAATATTGTAATGAACATCATATCAAGTTTTTTGTCTGTCTTGTAGGGTCTAATGGAAGAAAACAAAGTACAAATCTTTGTCTTGAACCCCAAGTCCATCACCATGGGTCAGTTGTACGGTCAGTTTGACCCTGTGTCCCATGAGTGGTCAGATGGTGTGCTGGCTGTGTCTTACAGAAACTTTGCACAGTCTACAGTAAGTTAAGCAAGTTCTGGTTTTCTAGCACATGTGATCATCCTGGTCATTCTAATATAATTGTTATGTATTGATTGGCATCAGTCCAGTCATTAGTAATTTTTTCTTTGATTGTAAGAAAACTTAATTTGAAAGAATGTAATATTACATTATGTGCATTATCTTTATCATATCTTTACTGTAGAAACTTGAAATATAGAAAGCGCAATAATCTGTATAAAGTAGTATTGTGTAAGAAACAATAAGCAGTGTTTCTCTGGCTTCACCATGGTGTTGTATATCTATCTACAGACCCCAGACAGGAAATGGCTCATCTTTGATGGCCCAGTGGATGCCATCTGGATTGAGAACATGAACACAGTGCTGGATGACAACAAGAAGTTGTGTCTGATGAGTGGTGAGATTATACAGCTGGCCAGCACTACCAACCTTATGTTTGAGCCTATGGACTTGGAGGCTGCATCCCCTGCCACTGTGAGTAGCAAGCAACATAAAATCCATTACTACATGAATAAAGTGATATGTCAGAGCTTTTCTCTTTGCTGGTTATATTGGTCACTTTCTTGACTGACAACTGACAGCTTGAAGTAATTGTCAACACCTGAGTTAGAGTTGTGGGTCATTCAAAGCAGTCGGATAATTTATAACGTTAACACTTGAAAAATTTTATAAACAACTGGACTTGGGGACATTTTGCAAGACTGAATAGATTTAAAAAGGCCATTCGACCAACAGAACTCTATTTTTCAACTGGTCCTTATAATTTTTATCTGTTGTGAATCAACTTGTGATCAATAGGTCAGACAATTTCAGCATGACAGAACATTTTTACCTCAAAGACCCATTGTTTCTATTTTTCCAGGTGTCCCGCTGTGGTATGATCTACATGGAGCCGTCCTCTCTTGGTTGGCGGCCAGTGGTCAAGTCCTGGCTGAATGTGCTACCATCAACTCTGAATGAACTACACAAGCAAGCCATTAATGAGCTGTTTGAGAGGTTTTGCGATGCCTGCCTGGCTTGTGTCAGAAAGCAGATGAAGGTATGATAAGGAAAATATATTTTATTGTTTCAATTATGAAGGAAATGATAACCGGTTGAAGTGATGAAGTTATTTTTTCTTTGAAAATTTAGCATCAACCCAACAATCATTACTTAATAAGTTAAATGCTTATTTTCCATGCATTCACAGTGGTAGGTTAATTGATTAAAGGTTTTGCATTAAGAAGATTATTTTTTGTAAAATAAAATGTTCTGTGATTTCATGTAACCAATTCCTTCAAAAAGAAAGAAAATTAAAAAGTCTGACATGGTTGATGAATTGTCTTATTGTTATTCCCAGGAACTCTCTCCAACTTCTGATACCAACCTGGTCAAGTCTTTGATGAACCTGATGGACTGCCAGATGGATGAGTTCCAGGATGAAGCCAAGTTCAGTCAGCTGGATGAGAGACAGGTCTTTGGCTGGATAGAGGTATTGATAGATTTTCATTGGCAATAAATTCTGGGGTGTCACCAATCTGCAAAGCCTGCAATTTGATATAGGAGAAGAAAGTTTTTTTTCTAAACAATACAACTCGATGTCATTCATTCTTTATCAAAATGTTATCAGAACAAAGCTACTCCGACAAAGCCCAAGTCTTACAGCTGTGACTTATGTTATTCTTTATGCAACTGGCCTTTTGTTCTCTTCCAGGGAATGTTCATTTTTGCACTGACGTGGTCTTTAGGTGCCAGCAGTGATGACAAGAGCAGGTACTCCATGGACGCATTGGTGAAAGAACTACTGCAGGTACTTACTATTATTATTGTTGTTGTTGTTGTTGTTGTTGTTGTTACTATTATTATTATTATTATTATTATTTCTCTAAAGGAATGTAATAAAACATCGTTTGAATCAAATGTGCTGCAGTAAATAAGGTTGCTAGTAACTTTTACATTGAGACTTATTTAACATGAAAACAGACCCGCAGTTATGATAGTATTTTGCATCTCATTTCAGGGTGGCATGCAAGAAGAAACGCGTGCTAAGTTGAGCCTGATAAATTTAGTGGATCCACCGATGAAGCCTTACATGGTAGACTTTCCAAAGGAAGGGACCATTTATGATTACAAATTCCTCAAAGAGGTAGGAAATAATTTTCTCTGTTTTTCAAAAATTGTTTGTCAATCCCCAATTTAAATACCACTGGTAAAATCAATCCTACAAGGTGTTACAAAATCATATTTGTATGTTCATCATATTTTTGTACAAATAAGACCTAACAGCTAATTCTGGGTTTGCATTACAGGGTAACGGCAAATGGCAGAAATGGGACCTGGATATCAAGGATGCTCCCCCTATCCCCAAGGATGCCCTGTTCAATGAGATCATTGTCCCCACTGTGGACACCGTCCGCTATACCCACCTGATGATGACACTGGTCACACATCAGAAGACTTGCCTCTTTGTGGGACCCACTGGGACAGGAAAAAGTTGTTATATCATTGTGAGTTAGCATTCATTCATTTCACATGCACCCTCCATTTCTAAAGAAATTATTTATTTATTTTTCATTGTTTATTGAAATGATATTTGATCAAATATGTATTAGGTTATGCTGGTCAAGTTAAGACAGATTGTTTGTACTGAAGGATTATCAGCTTCATTACAGCATTAGGTCAAGTTATTGACCACCCTTTGGTTGCATCTACTTGGTAGTGAAATAGCTTTTATTTTAATCCTTTGTAGGACTTCCTGCTGAACAAACTAGACAAAGATGTGTACAAACCTAACATAGTGAACTTCTCAGCCCAGACCACCTGCAACCAAACCCAGAACATCATCATGTCCAAGCTGGACAAGAGGAGGAAGGGAGTGTTTGGTCCACCCCTGGGAAAGAAGGCTGTAAGTAAAACAATACATACATCACACAGTGTAGCAATGATTTAAATCCAGTCAACAACTATTACATTATTTCTGTGTATTAGATAAAATGCCTCATAGTATGCTTCTATATTACATTTTGATATCCTGTGGCTTATGTTTCAGATTGTATTTGTTGATGACCTGAACATGCCAATGAGAGAGACGTATCTTGCCCAGCCTCCTATAGAGTTACTGAGGCAGTGGATGGACCACTGGAACTGGTATGACCTCAAGGACACCACCATGATCAAACTGATAGATATCCAGCTGATGGCAGCCATGGGACCACCAGGTACAGTGAACAGTAGAATTAACAACGGAGTTCTGAAAACAATTTCACATTTAACTTTTCTTTTATTCATGTTTTTTAACATTAAAATGATTAGTAGTAGTGTATATTTGTTGTGCTGATATTTGATAAGAGTGCAATTTTCATTGAAAGTTGGTATGCTTCTCCTCATAGGTGGTGGTCGTAACCCGGTGACTCCCAGAATGCTGCGCCATTTCAACACTATCACCATGAATGAGTTTGACAATGAATCTATGAGCACAATATTCAGGAGAATCATGGACTGGCACATTACTTCAAAGTGAGTGTTTTATTCAAATAGAAATTTAATTAAATAGGGATATTTGATGATGTAAAAAAAAAAAGGAAAACTTTCTTTTCAACTCTTATAAATAGCTCTGAATATTTCCACTTGACTTTATTTCATCCACTATTATTGTAAAGGGTATATTTTATGTAAGGGGAATTAGTTCACTGTGATGACCGCTCTCATTTTCCAGGGGTTTCTCCAAGCAGTTCAATGCCTGTGTGGACATGGTGGTCAGTGGTACTATGGATGTCTATAAGAAATCTCTGGAGATGTTGCTGCCCACCCCAGCCAAGTCCCACTACCTGTTTAACCTGCGTGACTTCAGCAGAGTGGTCCAGGGCGTCCTGCTGTCCATACCTGACACCACAGAGGAACCCGCCTCCATGAAGAGGCTCTGGGTTCATGAGGTGGGTACTTATTGGATTACTGTTAAATAGATTTTCTTTTTTGCTACCTTTGTGCTAGTCAAATGGAGTTCTCTACATTATATATCATTTATTTTTTAGTGAAATTATTGAAAATAGTTTTTTGTCCATACATTTGACACAAAGTTCTTCTTTCCAACCAGGTGTTCCGAGTGTTCTATGACAGGTTGGTGGATGATGCAGACAGGAGCTGGCTCTATGGGTATGTTAGAGAAGTCGTGAAGACCAGACTGAGTGAAGATTTTGATCAACTTTTCATCCATTTGGATTCTGATGGAGATAATAAGGTATGTTTATAACGGAATCGGATTTTTTGTGAAGAAAAAAATCAGAATTTTAGCAAATAATTTTCATTATTTAGAATGAGATTAAATTTTTTGTCTTTACTCAAAATAATTTAACAGAATATACCCAGCGGGCAAATCAACATTGAATCAATGTTGAATCAACGTTGATGGTCAACGTTGAAACTATGTTGATATGACGTTGACTATGAAAGTTGACTCAACGTTGAACCATCAAGGTTGAATCAACCTTGATGTATCAATGTTGAATCAACGTTGACGGTCAACGTTGAAACTATGTTGATATGACGTTGACTATGAAAGTTGACTCAACGTTGAACCATCAAGGTTGAATCAACCTTGAGGTATCAATGTTGAATCAACGTTGATGGTCAACGTTGAAACTATGTTGATATGACGTTGACTATGAAAGTTGACTCAACGTTGAACCATCAAGGTTGAATCAACCTTGANTATCAATATTGATGGATCAATATCATCTCAACCTATCCTCAATGTTGAATCAACGTTGAGTGCCCGCTGGGTATATATATATTGTTATTATTATTATTATTATTATTATTATTATTATTATTATGTATTTTCCAACAATAGAAATAGTTATTCATACTTTCCTTACTTTACTTCCAGGTAACTGAGGATGACTTGCGTAGCTTGTTGTTCTGTGACTTTGCTGATCCAAAGTCAGATGCTAAGAACTACATTGAGATCCGTGACCTGAACTCTCTGACCACTGTTGTGGAGGGCTACCTGGATGAGTTCAATAATATGAGCAAGAAACCTATGAACCTTGTCATGTTTAGGTAATTGTCTGCTTATTATCATTATTTTTATTGTTATTGTTATTCTTATTGAACATGATATAGCTACACATTTTCACAAATATAACATTCCTATATTCTGCAAAAAAAAATACATTTTAGTCATCAGTTTTCAAATCTAAGTATGATTAATCTTTACATTATTTTTGGATATGTTTTGGTGCATGTATGTTAAGTTTTAAGTTTTGAATGTCTTAAACCAAGAACTACTGGTACCTTTTAACTTTCACTGCTCATGTATGACCTCCCTGTAACTTTCAGATTTGCCATTGAGCATGTGTCACGTATCTCCCGAATCATCAAGCTGCCCAGAAGTCACGCTTTGTTGGTGGGAGTTGGAGGATCTGGACGTCAGTCTCTTACCAGGCTGGCTGCACATATGTCAGACTATGATCTGCATCAGGTAATTGATGAACACATAGCCTACAGCTTGGAGACAGTGTTAGATGGGAAAGAATAGAATGTGTACAGGAGACTGCTTTGCATGTTTTGATTGCCCATTTAGTTGGTGTTTATAGACAAATAATGATGACTTGCATTTTAGAATGTCAAGGTGGCATAAAATGAAATGTGAGTTATGAAAATCAGAACAGATACGTTGACAACAAATAGCCATGAAATGTGTTGCCCTTTCCAGGTTGAGATCAGCAAAAGTTACACCAGTGTAGAATGGCGTGAAGATCTCAAACTTATCCTGCGTAAGTCTACAGAGACTGATCAGCATGCTGTGTTCCTGTTCTCAGACACACAGGTGAGCAGGGGATTTGATGCTGAAAATTGGGAAAAATGAAAATCCTTTTAAAAAGTTACAAATAATAATAATAATAATAATAATAATAATAATAATAATAAAATTATGAAACAATGATAATAAAAACATCTGTGAAATTTTCTTCTGTTCATTTGGTAAGGACCTTTGGTGACTTTCAAATATAATGTTTCTTTATAGATCAAACAAGAATCCTTCCTGGAGGATATCAACAACTTATTAAACTCTGGAGAAGTTCCTAACCTTTACCCTGCTGATGAGAAGGCTGAAGTCTGTGAGAAAATGAGGCAAATTGACAGGTAAAACTCCAGGAGTAGAAATAATGTTCCAGTAACTAATAGGAGCTGTACTAGTACTACAGACACTTGAGAAATAGTATATAACATAACTTTCCAGTTTGATGCTTAGATATGTTGTACACCAACACCCTAGTGCTTATATAATTTAATGTGGTTTTCTTATTGCAGACAACGGGACAAGAGCAAACAAACAGATGGCTCCCCTGTCAGTTTGTTTAACATGTTTGTTGGGAGATGTAGAGATCAGCTCCATATTGTACTGGCCATGAGTCCTATTGGTGATGCATTCAGGAACAGACTGAGGAAGTTCCCCTCTTTGGTCAACTGCTGTACTATAGATTGGTTCCAGGTGTGTAGAACAGAGTGCGGGAGGTGTGACAGTGTGTTAGGTGTGGCATTGTGATAGGTGTTACAGTTTTCTAGGTGTGGTAGCATTCTAGGTTTGACCGTTATTTATTAAAGCATTTCTGAAAAACAAAAATTACACATTTTGGTACTAAATTTTATAGCTTATCACTGTGTTTGTCTTCCCCAGTCCTGGCCAGAGGATGCCCTGCAGGCTGTAGCCACACGCTTCCTTGATGACATAGAGATGGAGGACAACATCCGATTTGGCTGTATTTCTATGTGTAAGGATTTCCACACCACCACCAGAGAGCTCTCAGAGAGGTTCCTGAATGAACTGGAGAGACACAACTACGTGACGCCCACATCCTACCTGGAGCTCATCAACACTTTCAAAGAACTGCTCAACAAGAAGAGAGAGTGAGTGTTGTGTTCCATGTTTATGTGCCATTCTTTACAATGTTGTGTTCCATGCTTATGTGCCATTATTTACCAGCATAAGATCATTACTGTTGTTCTGTATTATGATGATTATGATATGCCAAAGCAGCATTTGATATATTTCATTCATTCCATACAGTCAAGTGACAATGATTGTGAAAAAATATGAAATATGTTCACTGCTTTGATGTATGAATGCCATTTCTCCTCCAGCGAGGTGATGAAAGCCAAGAGGAGATACGAGGTGGGTCTGGAAAAGCTCCAGTCTGCAGCCTCGCAGGTGGCCGTAATGCAGCAGGAGCTGACTGACCTGCAGCCACAGCTGGTGGTGGCCAGTAAGGAGGTGGAACAGATCATGATCAAAGTGGAGTCCGAGTCAGTGGAGGTGGCCAAAGTTGAGAAGGTGAGAGCATGGCCTAGTGCTTCTTTTTTTACTGTTTAATGCACTGAACTTTGTGGTATTCTACAAGTTGATATTTTGACTTACATATAGTGAGAGGGATGGCTTGAAATTGTAGATTGACAGTTCTGTATTGTGTCATACATTATTATCATGTTTTGCCTCAAATGAAATTCTGCACATGACATTTTATTTATTCCAGGTTGTGAAAGCTGATGAAGCTGTTGCCAATGAGCAGGCTTCGGCTGCTAAAGCTATCTCAGATGAATGTGAAGCTGACTTGTCGGAGGCCATTCCAATCCTGAACAGTGCTCTGGCAGCTTTAGACACCCTCACACCACAGGTATACAGGACTTCAGTTGTGATTTGAGAAGTTTTTAAAGAATAAAGTTGGTAGATTTACAAAACAAGATGAAATATTACATGTGGCGCTCATCTTTTATTTTTTAAAAAAAATCTGCTCAGAAAAAAGGGTAGAATTTTCAAGCAAGTAATGTTCCTGTGCTGATTACTGTACTGCATCTTTTGCCTGGATTAACAATCTATTTAATTTACTTAATTTATTTAATTTAATGCAGGACATCACCCTGGTGAAATCTATGAAGAGCCCTCCATATGGTGTCAAGCTTGTTATGGAGTCTATCTGTGTACTAAAAGGAATCAAACCAGAACGTATACCAGACCCCTCAGGGTCAGGCAAGAAGATAGAGGATTACTGGGGACCGTCTAAGAAACTGTTGGGTGACATGAAGTTCCTGGAATCCCTGCATTCTTATGACAAGGTAACTTTGCTTTGGAAATTGTTTAACTTGTGTTTTGTGAGCAAGCAAAATTACATCACAATTGACACATTACTGAGAGCAATTATTTACTTATTTGTTTGCTTATTTGTTAATATTTTGAGATATATTTAGAAATTGTATACCCGCTATTACTTTACTATTTCTCAAAAGCAAAAGGTTGATATTTTTTGCATGTTTTTCTCTGTCTTCCAGGACAACATACCCCCAGCAGTGATCAAGATTATCAGGGAGAAATATGTCACCAATCCTGACTTTGTTCCTGAGAAGATCAAGACTGCCTCCACTGCAGCTGAGGGTCTCTGCAAGTGGGTTAGAGCTATGGAATCCTATGACAAGTAAGTCTCTTTTTTTTTTTTTACAGCACTCAGCTATTCAAAGCCTTGATGAGAAGTTTATTCTTTGATGCTCAATTGCATTTAAATATTGGGAAATAATTGTGTTGAAAATTTTGTGTTTCTGGAAATAGTTTTCATAAAAGTTCTAGTTTCCTCTGATTTCCTGATAAAAGAAGTGTTTGTTTTTTTTATATAATTTAATACCTTTCTCTTCAGGGTGGCTAAGGTGGTGGCACCCAAGAAAGAAGCCCTTAAGAAGGCTAATGCTGAGCTAGCAGTTGCTATGGCTGCACTGGAGAAAAAGAGGGCAGCACTGAAAGAAGTCCAGGACAAGCTGGCTAGACTGACAGAGCAGTTAGAGCACAACAAACAGAAGAAGGTTGACTTGGAGAATCAGGTGGATCTCTGTGAGAAGAAACTGGAGAGGGCAGAGCAGTTGATTGGAGGTCTAGGTGGTGAGAAGGACAGATGGAGCCAGTCTGCTGAAGAACTTGGCATTAAGTATATCAACCTGACTGGAGATGTACTGGTCTCTTCTGGCTTGGTGGCCTATCTGGGAGCTTTCACTTCATCATTCAGACAGGTAGGTTACCTGGAATGTAGGATGGCAAATGAAGGGTGTGTCCTTGAATTTAGTTTCAAATAGAGGATGGCAATGATGTGTGTGTGTGTATGTGTATGTGTGTGTGCTTGTGTGTGTGTGTGTACACATATGTATCTTTGTATAAACATGAATTTGTGTACATGTCCTTGTATGGTACAAGACCACCAAAATTCCATATGGATCACGCTTAATGTCTTAATTAAGTGGAATAAAGGCAGCGCATTTAAACATCAAGGTCCTGTTAAGTGTGCACTGAGTACACATTTGTGGTGTTTTTTCCTAGGAACAAGCCAAGACATGGCAGAATAGTGTGGTCAGTAAGAATATTCCATGTTCCCCAGTGTTCTCCCTGGTCACTACCCTGGGAGACCCAGTGGCCATCAGGTCGTGGAACATCTGTGGTTTGCCCACTGACAACTTCTCTGTGGAGAACGGTATCATCATCAGGTACATTATACAGGATTGAATTTTCATGTGAATGTGAAGGGAAAGTGTAGCAAATAACTCACTGTACGTTGTTGACATAAAGTCAGTTTTTAATAGCTGTAATTCTTTATGTTTTTCAGCTCTTTTTTATTATTATACCTTAAAGCTGATATTATTACACCTTAAACTTTCAGCTTTTGAGGCTATTTGGTGCTTCTCATAGGTGTGGCAGCAGTTTTATGCCTGAACAAAAGATCATTGTAAAGTTGTTTTTGAGAAGTCAGTAACTGATCATTTATTTTTTCAGTAATGCTCGTCGTTGGCCCCTCATGATAGATCCCCAGGGCCAGGCCAATAAGTGGATCAAGAACATGGAGAAAGCAAACCAGTTGGCTGTTATCAAACTCAGTGATAGTGACTTTGTCAGGTCCCTGGAGAATGCTATACAGTTTGGAACTCCAGTAAGTGTATGAATTGACATCAGAATAGATAATTTAAGTAAGGCTTTTAAATAAACAGTGGTCTATGCAAAAAAACATATATGTCATGGTACGGTCAGGTAAGATAAGTCAATTAACACTTGTTAATTAAGAAGTGAGATGTTTGCAGATATGTCATTAAGATTTTCCAGGACACTGATACATCTTTCATCTATCCAACAGGTACTGCTGGAGAATGTACTTGAAGAAATAGACCCAATGTTGGAGCCCCTGTTACTGAAGCAGACATTCAAGCAGGGTGGTAGTCTGTGTATAAAGCTGGGAGACAGTACGATAGAGTACTCACATGACTTCAGGTTTTATATGACCACCAAACTGAGGAATCCACATTACTTGCCTGAGACCTCTGTCAAGGTTTGTAGAAAAAAAAAGATTTTTTGCTGAAAATTTCATAGATTCTGGATATCTCTTGTTTTTTTTCCTAAAATAATTTTCTTTGGTATGATTTTTTTTATTGCCTGGCATTTAATAGCATAACTCATCAGTTCACAATAAATTGAGCTTATAAGTACATTTTGTTTGAACTCTGCCCCACTTTCCTTCAGGTGACCTTGTTGAACTTTATGATCACCCCAGAGGGTCTTCAGGACCAGCTACTGGGTATTGTGGTAGCCAGAGAGAGACCAGAGCTGGAGGAGGAGAAGAATGCACTCATTCTACAGAGCGCAGAGAACAAAAGGCTGCTCAAAGAAATTGAGGACAAAATCCTGATGGTCCTGTCTACATCAGAGGGCAACATCCTTGAAGATGAGACGGCCATTAAAGTGCTGTCCTCCTCCAAGGTCCTGGCCAATGAGATCTCGGAGAAACAGGCCATTGCTGAGGAGACTGAGCAGAAGATTGACAAGACACGTATGGGCTACACTCCCATTGCTGTGCATTCCACCATCCTGTTCTTCTCCATTGCTGACCTGGCCAACATAGAGCCTATGTACCAGTACTCTCTAACCTGGTTCATCAACCTCTTCATACTGTCCATTGACAATGCAGAGAAGTCTGAGGATCTGGACACTAGGCTGCTGAACCTGAAGAACCACTTCACTTACAGCTTGTATTGCAACATCTGCAGATCTCTGTTTGAAAAGGACAAGGTAGGAAGATTATCATTCTGTTAAGTCTCTCTGACATGAAGAGCTTAGTCTTGATCCTCATGGCATTCAGAAAGATGGAAGAACATGAAACATGAATTTAAACCACATTGTTAATAGTGTGTGCAAAGCAAAATGTTTGATTGAGAAAAATAAACTGATGGTCTGGGCCATAGGTTTGGGGGAGGTTAAAATGAACTGCCCTTTAAGCCCCCTCTGAATCAAATCTTGGTCTAGTTTCTATACTTACTAATGAAAGAAATGTAAATTTCACTGTACAGAAATCTATACTTGTTCTCAAAAGAACCCCCCTGTGAAATTGCTAGATACATATATTTTTATTTCAATTTCTAGCTGCTGTTCTCATTCTTGCTGTGTGTGAACATGTTGAAGCATGACAAAGAGATAGACGAGGAGGAGTGGAGGTTCCTGCTGACCGGAGGCGTGGGACTGGACAACCCCCATAGTAACCCCTCCACCTGGCTGCCGATCAAGTCCTGGGATGAATTCTGTCGTCTGGATGACCTGCCTCACTTCAAAGGACTCCGACAGAAGTTCATCACATATAAAGACCAGTGGAAAACCATTTATGACAGTTTGGTGGGTATATTGATTATAGTCAGTATATCTCATTGGTATTTATATAAAGTGTGTTATTAAATGTTGTTACTGGGGTATAATAATATAGTTTTATGTATCCTATGTAACTGCTGTCTAAATAATGTGCTGGTATATTCTATGTCTTCTGAATGTTTTTGTGGCAGGTATTTGTAGAAAGCTTCAATTTTGAATATCACAGTATGATTTTAAGCTAAGATATATATTTCATACTTGCTTTTCATATTTCTAGGAACCCAATAAAGAGCCTTTGCCTGGGGATTCCAATGAAAAACTGAACACTTTCCAGAAAATGCTGGTTCTCCGCTGTCTAAGGCCGGACAAGGTAAGCTTTTTGATTCAGTTTCACTCTGAATACAACTAAAAATGTTCAACTGATAGAGGAAAATGGCTGCCATGTGGAGTTTTGAAATTGTTTTGATGTATTCAAACTGTCTGTTTCCTTAGATTGTCCCAGCAGTCCAGAGTTTTGTGACAGAAAAGATTGGGAAGAAGTACATAGAGCCTCCACCATTTGACCTTCCCAAGGCTTATGGTGACAGTAACTGCTGTGCCCCTCTGTTGTTTGTACTGTCTCCTGGTGCAGATCCCACAGCCGCGCTGCTCAAGTTTGCTGATGATCAGGTATGTAAATGTCTACAACATTTACCTTTATACATCTCTGTTGTTTGTAGTGTCTCCTGGTTTGTTACTACATGCTGTACTGCCCAAGTTTGCTATTAACCATCAAGTTTTCAGAAACATGTTGCTTTCGTTTATTATTTGCCATATTTTTTACATTTGTTATAAAAGTGAAGATAGTTTGAAGTATTATGTGCATATTTTTTTTCTTCCAGGGTTTTGGTGGTGCAAAGTTTGAGTCTCTGTCCCTTGGTCAGGGCCAGGGCCCCATTGCTATCAGGCTGATAGATAAAGGCAAAAAAGAAGGGACATGGGTCCTGCTCCAAAACTGTCACTTGTCCTCTTCATGGATGCCTACACTGGAGAAGATTTGTGAGGTAGGAATGCTAGTTATTGTCCAAATTTTTAATATAAAAAATATGTTTCTTTACTTCCACATATATTGGTAATTATAGGCCTGTTGTTTATAATGAGATATATGGGCTCATGTATGTTCATTCTCTAAATATCAATCCTAGGAGTTTAACCCAGATGAGACTCACCCAGACTTCAGGCTGTGGCTGACTAGCTACCCATCCAATGATTTCCCAGTGTCCATCCTGCAAAATGGTGTCAAGATGACCAATGAACCGCCAAAGGGTATCCGTTTCAATGTCATCAGATCCTATGGCAGCGACCCCATCTCAGATCCAGAATTCTTTGGTGGAGTGAAAAACCAGGTTGGTGTTTGACTTGATGCAGAAGACTAAATATCTAATTTTGTGAAGACACTAATCTTTAAATGCAACTATGTTTGTGTGCTGCCTTTTCTGTATTATCACCCCCGGAGGGCAAACTGAGGATACATTTTCTTGTTTTAAATAATGATGATTTATTTTTGTTCCATTCCCAGTCGGCTTTCAAGAAACTCCTGTATGGCCTGTGCTTTTTCCATGCCTTGGTGCAGGAGAGGAGGAAGTTTGGTCCCCTTGGTTGGAATATTCCATACGAGTTCAATGAAACTGACCTTAGAATTAGTGTTATGCAGTTGGCTATGTTCTTGAACCAGTATGATGTAAGTATTTGTACTGTAGTCATCTGTCAGTATTGCACAGTATTGGTTAGTTTGTTTTGATATGTGATATTCAGATATATGTATTTGTAGAAGTTCCAGCTATGTTATCTTGAAAGTTAATGTCACGGTTAACATGTTAACAGGATCACAGTTTATAACAATAATAAATGTAAATAAAGGTTAAATCAGTTAGTGTGTGTGTGTGTGTGTGTGTGTGTGTGTGTGTGTGTGTGTGTCAAAAAATACATTCCAACGGGACATTAAGTTACTACTTCAGGTGAGAGAAAAGAAATGAAATAAGACTGCCGCTAAAAGAAAAAGTTCATAACCATTACCTAATATACTTTGTTTGCTATTAAAAAGAGATATGGCAGTTAGATTAAACTTTTTTTTAATCTCTTGCTTCCTCTAAAAATTAAACGACTGTTTTGTGTGTTTGTATCTAGGACATCCAATACGATGCTATTCGTTACCTGACCGGAGAGTGTAACTATGGCGGTCGTGTGACTGATGACAAGGACAGACGTACTCTCACCTGTATCCTAAACAGGTTCTACACGCCTGAGATCATCAATGACGAAAACTTCAAGCTGGATGGACCTGATGGATCATTTTTAATTCCACCTGAGGGTGATGTATGTATAACAGAGACACACATCATACTGTTTGTTTTACAGAGAGATTCATGTGTTGTATTAGAAAAAAAAAGAAAGACTTTAAATTAATGTATTTTTAACACATTTATTTGTCTTTTATGCTTGAAGTTCAGGATAACTTTTTGAATTAAAATTTGTATAAATAAAGCATTTTGATAATTTGTATTATAGAAATGGTGACTTGGAGTTGCAACTCTTTAACACTTGAACATCCATGAGTTCTCAGCAATGTGTTTGTGTTACACTTCAACATCCATAAGTTCTCAGCAATGTGCTTGTGTTACACTTCAACATCCATGAGTACTCAGCAATGTGTTTGTGTTACACTTCAACATCCATGAGTTCTCAGCAATGTGTTTGTGTTAATTTCAGTACGAGAGTTACATTGAGTACACTAAGGGTTTCCCCTTGAACCCATCCCCAGAAGCCTTTGGAATGAACTCCAATGCTGATATCACTAAGGACCAGAAGGAAACCAACCTTCTGTTTGACAACATTCTGCTGACACAGGTAATGACTAGTTATCAATAAAGTGCTAACAATAGATAACTCTACTCAAATACAATAAATAAATTAATGGTCTTAGATTAGAGACCATGGTCACTAAATATATCATTACTGATTAGTAATGTTATTTTAGAGGGGGTGGGGTGGCGTGGCAAGCAATCCTTCTTTTTTTCTAATTCTAATATGTATTTAATTCAAAAAGTTACTGTATTAAGATAAACTTGGAGTCAATTAGGTTTGTACAAAAGTCTCAGTGTGTAACAGTTCAAAGGAAAAGTAGAAATATTCTAATTTTTTTGTTTTTTAATTGCAATATGTCTTCTAAGTGTTACATGTTTTACAATACAAGTTACAAACAGATACTAATACTGTCCAATCACAACTTGACAATATTCTGATATTGATTTTTTTTTTACTAATAAACAACTTGTTCCTCTTCCCTGCCATTCATCTGGTGATGGCTACAGAAAAGGGTAAGCCAGGATGTGGTACTAGTGCCAGCAGCCTACATATCCTACTGCCATCCTTACACCCATATCTTCTTCCAGCTTTCACAGATACATGTAGTCTTGTGCTAGTTATCAATTGATTCTACATAACTAGCAGGCACAGCTAGTGTAGAGAAGATGACTAGAACCATAGAGGACCATTGATAGATATCATTGATATGCCAAATTATCAAGTAGTTCATAGTGTTATTGTTTTTTTTTTTTTTCAACAAATGCTATAAATTGCAAATCTTTTCATAGAAGGCTTAATAGTAAGTTTTCAATTAACACCCTTGTAGTTCTCAATCAGCAATCACTCAAAAGATGGTCATAATTGTCTAATTACATTAATTGCCCTCTCTGTCTCTTTTATTGGGTTAGACACTCAGTAAAAAAAATGATAAATCAAGCTGATTAGTAAAAAAATGAGCAAGTTGTAGAATAGTATCTGGAATCCACAATATTTTATAGTGCCATTTTAGAAATACCACCCAATAACTGGTCTACAGCTTTTTAAAGCATATTCAACAGGTTCCTCAAAAGTGTGCTCTCTAATCTAATCTAGTCTAGTTAGTCTAGCTCCATTCCAGGTTGCTAGCATGCATGTCTTCCTGCCTTCTATTCCAGCTAGTGCATGTCTCCAGCATGTGCTCTGTTCCCGATTCCTGTGTCCTTGTCCAGCATGTGTTCTGTTCCAAATCCCTGCGTCCCTGTCTTGTCCTACACATTGCTTGTGGCTTCTACATAATGAATGATTGGTTTGATTGGACCTGAAGCATGAGATGCATGAGTTTTGAAAACACACTTGCATGATTTCACTGACATTGATATGACTTCATTGAGATGGGTTTTTGAACATGAGTGTCTTTGTTAATACAGTATAAAAGTCTTTTTTTTAGCATTTTCAGGAATTTGATTTAATTGTTGATTTGTAAATACATTTCATCTCTGAGTATAAAATATTTAAAAATTATTAACACTTTATATGAAGTCATATTTAGTACAAAAACTTACTTAAAGAGCAAATGGTGTACATATGTTGTTTTTCTTCACAGGCTAAAGCTTCCTCTGGTGGTGGAAAGTCCACAGATGATGTTGTTGACGAGGTCTGTGAGGACATCTTAAACAAACTGCCACCAAACTTCGACACGGAGGCAGCATTAAGGAAGTACCCCACCTCCTACAAGCAGAGCATGAACACCGTGTTGGTCCAAGAGATGGTCAGGTTTAACAAATTACTGATCACTATCAGATCCAGTCTGCAGAACATTAGGAAGGCTATCAAGGTAAAGAAACACAGACACTTCATTACAGCACTGGCATGCTGAAACTATTGGTCAAACTTTATCATGACTGATAAAAGTTTCACGGTCTGGTACACAATTGTGTTCAGTCATGCCAAGAAACTTGCAGCAATTTTAAGAGACGTCATGTTGAATTTAGTGTAAGTCAAGCAAAAAATCCTTTGGTCTGAGACATTTTTTTCATCACTGATTGTCCAAATGTCTGGCTGTTTTTATGTTTTCAGCATGTCTGACAGCACAGAGCCCTAGACCAGCTTTAATTGTGGACAATATCTATACATTGCTGTGGAGGGTTTTGTCATAAAACACTGCATGGAGAGTACTTTAGACATCACTTGAATAGCCCTTTACTATACACACCATGGGCAATAGAAGTGTCACCCCCTGAATCAGAGTAATCAAATAATAATCAAGTAATCAATAATCAAAGTAGGTAGATCTTGAGTAGTTATAATGCCTGGTCTACATTTGATTACTTGATTATTATTTGATTACTCTGATTCAAATAATAATCAAGTAATCAATAATCAAAGTAGGTAGATCTTGAGTAGTTATAATGCCTGGTCTACATTTGGTTTTTTTGTGAAATTGATAAAATTATACCAGGAGCAAATCATTCCACAGTCATTTATCTTCCCCAAAGTATTGGTTCAGTAGGGGTGACACTTCTATTGTCCATTGTGTGTATAAGTACGCTTTATATGGAAGGAGCCCAATGAAACCTTCTATGGAAGGAGCCCAATGAAACCCTCATTAACATTAGACTTACATGTGTTTACATGACAGTGCTTAGCTTTTCATTGATTTCTTGTATCTAGGGATTGGTTGTGATGTCAGCTGATTTGGAGGAAGTCTACCTGAGTATTGTAAAAGGCAAGATCCCAGGCATGTGGATGAAGAAATCTTATCCATCTCTTAAACCACTGGGAAGCTATGTCAATGATTTCTTGGCCAGACTCAAGTTTTTGCAGGTAAGATAAACTTTACAGCAACAGTCTTGTCTTTTTACACTTACAATCGGCTTAAGTTAATCCCAGTGAACCAGAGAAGGAATTACTTTACCGTTCCACTTAAACAAAAGTCGATGAGCATTTGACAGTCATTCAATACTAATGCCCAACTTGAAATTACTGGTGAAACACATACACTGTATGATTTGATACCCTCTAATCACTCACCTGTATGGTATTCCAGGACTGGTATGACCAGGGGGCCCCAAATAACTTCTGGGTGTCAGGTTTCTACTTCACACAAGCCTTCTTGACTGGAGCTCAACAGAACTATGCCAGGAAGTACACTATTCCTATAGATTTACTGGGCTTTGACTTTGAGGTCATGGAGGACAAACACCCTGATGAACCACCAGAGGACGGTGAGCTGATAATCAAGTTTTCAAATGACCATTCTTTCAAATTAAAGGAACACTCTTTGCCTTCAGTGTTTTTTTTTTTTTTGTTAAATGCAGATATTAATATTTTTTCAATCTGCGAGATATAAATCCAAAATTTCATATGCAGTGAACAACAGCATTTTTTTCTTTTTCTAAGCAAAACCTCATGCTTGTTTTGACCCCTAAATTTATGAATTCTGTTCTTCTCCACCCTCCAGGTGTGTATGTATATGGGCTGTTCTTGGACAGTGCTAGGTGGGACAGAAAGACAAAGAAACTGGCAGAATCCTTGCCCAAGGTCCTGCATGATGCCATGCCGATTGTAAGTATCAATTTCCAGTAGATTGTGTGATGAGAAACATATAGTGAGAGTTTATGTTGTGCCATATCTAGAAAGTGTAAGAAGTGGTGAAGAAAAGACGGAATTTCATCCTAACTGATACGTACACCCTATACATCAATAAAGTTATAAAGGGTATTAAATAAGAAAGTAAAAATAGGACGTGCATTTTGTAAAATTTGATCATTGCCCATGTCATTTTTCTTCCAGATTTGGCTGAAGCCCATGAAGAGAAGTGAGGTTCCACAGCGTCCCTGCTACGAGTCTCCCATCTACAAGACCAGTGAGAGGAGGGGCACCCTGTCTACTACTGGTCACTCCACAAACTTTGTCATCTTCATGTCCCTGCCCTCTGACAAGCCACCCCAGCACTGGGTGATGAGGGGGGTGGCCATGCTTTGTCAGCTGGACAACTAAAACATATGTTAATTCTTTGGAACTATTGCTGCACATTGACAACCAGATGATGTGTTTGCTGTGGTTATTCACAGGATTTAGCTCATACATATGGACTCAAAACAATATAATAACCATAGTGGATTGTTTGTATATTTGTGATTTGACTGCATTTATATCTATATCTGTGTCAAGATTTATACTGTACAGTGACCTTGAGCAAATTGTGGGTATATTTTATTTTTTGGTTTCACATTTTGCTTGACACCACCAAATATTCACAAACATATCAGATGTTCTTGAAAAGTGATTTGCAATTTATAACTGATTCCACCCACAACAAAGTTGTCCATTGAATTTTTGCAGTGCCTTGATCTTAGCAAGCACACCAGTTATGATGGCCAAAAGAATGGAATACTGACTGTGATAGACTTGTACATAATTTGTATTATACAATATGAATGTTTTGAATAGTTTTAACTGTTTTTGTGGGTGAATATTCAACTAACCGCATTCCGTCCCAAGTAATAAATTGTAGCCAAAGTGTATACTGTTACTTTCTATTTTGGACATTATTTTGATTAATCTAGATAATTGTATGTTTATTGCTTAAAGATTATGTATACATAGCGTGGTCTACTCATTTTATAATAAAGATTTTTATGAAAACATTTTATAGTGATTGCCATATTTTCAGTTTCATTTGAAAGAAATAGCTTGAGATGACACTGGGAAGCAAAATGGTTTAACAAATCTGCCTTCTAAGTTCTACTTCCTTTCTCTTATGTGGTAAATGTTTTTTAGAAGTGCAACATTTTAACTTTTTCTTTTCAATCACCTTTTCACTCATTTAAAGATGTTATGCTGAAGTTAGCCAGAGGAATTTTATCTTTTCAAGCGGCCGGTCAAAAATTGGTGAGAAATTTAGCATGCAAGGTCACTGATAAAGATTGCTTCGAATCTAACCCACAAGGACGTAAAACTGATTACAATATGCCATTTTACAGTAGTTAATACCTCAATTCAGGTGGTCTAAAAATTTGAAACACGCTTCCCGATTGCAATCAGGCATTTTCTATTGTCAGTGGACACTTAAACCCAAATTTTAAATCCTTTGTATGCCAGCTTTTTACTTTTCATGAGTATGCTTACCTGGTTAGCAAGCATACTGGGGAATCTCATCTACCAGAACCCCCTCAGCCCCTCATTAGTGAGGACTTGGCAAGTTTATCATAATAATTAGAACTGCATCGAAAGCAAATATTTTAATACTGCTTCTCAGACTTATATCAAATTTTTCTTTAGTGTAAATTTCGTAAAATCTGTTATAAATTTAATACTGTTCAATACCCAATAATTAAGTGCAAAGTTTAAACAAAATTATTTTAAAATAATTTCAAAGTAAGGCAGTTTGTATGATCAGGCTAATTTTCCTAGCCGTTTATTAAACCAAATCATAGTACACAGAATAATTGAAATAACTGACAAATACCATAATATTTCTGTATCTTTTTTTATTTCTTCACTGAAATACACTCCTTTTTATCCTTTCAGAACTAAAATGTCAAACAGTCTGTAAAAATATTCACATTTATCTGTTTTTCACCAGCTGGTTCCATGATGGTTCTTAACTGTTTGTAAAAAGCCAAGACTTCTCGCTGAAATATAAAGAAAATTATCTTAAACAATAAAGAAACCACTATGACTGAACATAATACATACGGAAATTAGCAATTTTATCACAAGTACCATGATATTAAAGCTCTCTACAGAAGTAACAGATATTCAAATAGAATGTAAGGGACCCACCACCAGTTTTTCATTTGTTATTATTTGTAGAAACTAGACATGTTCAAATGCCACCAATGTCATCTGTTTAGAATAACTAGGGCACAGGAGTAAAAACTAACCATCTCTCCCACAGATAGCTGCCGGCATGATTTAATAAAGTATAGTAGGAAGAAATGAATCAGTGGCCTACAACAAGAATGTCTGGGGCCGCATCAGCAGAAAACCACCAGGCATGAAAATCAAATTGTCGTTTATTTTGCTTATAAAACCATTTCTGTCCTATACCTACCTGATCAAACTCTCATGCCAGGCCTGAACCTTGGTGGAGGTGTTCTGTCTTTCCTAGCCTCCCTGGATCTGTTCCTCACTACCTTAGAGTGAATAGCACAGCTAACACAGTAGTGAAGCTTGGCGTACAGCTTAGGCAGGGGATACACTGAAATGTAGGAAATCATTGACTATAATAGAAGATTATTAGAAAATGGTGGGGTTGAAATAAACTCTTTTCTTAAATATGATTTTAAGCTGTAAGAAGAAAGTGGAAAAATTGCTTGGTGGCCTTACAGCTGGGGTTGTTAAAGGTCTGAAAACTACCAAGGGGAAAATGCTAATATTTAAATTGGTAAAATTTTATGCTTGTTTTCTGTACAACGTGGTGAAATTAAGTTCCTACCCAGAATAAGTAAAAACATTATGGACATCAGTTTTATGTACTCAGTATTGCAAAATGCCCCTTTCCTTTCACCTCCATTATGTATTAACCTTGATCTGACAGACCAAGGGTCATCAATTTTATTGTCATTTTCATAAATCTACAAACTGTATGCTTGGGCGGAGGAGGGGTTAATGCCTTTTGTACTCTTTTTGATAAAATAATAAAAATGATGATCTTCACCCCTAGTGATATGCAGATGTCAAGGTAAATATGAGTAAAATGTTTTGTCTGATTAGGGTGTCCATTTGGAATGATGTTAATTAATGGGTGTCCCTAAATTGCATAATACACCGCAATATACACTTGAAAAAACGAGTCCAATTGCATGTTAAAATGGGAAATGGTCCCTCCAAACAAAATAGGGTGATAGAAAAGCAAAACATATTACTAAGTAATGCTGTTTATACAACTTAACTAGTCACCACAATTTGTTTGTCAGTCGGTCAACAGCCATGTTAGCGAGTAGTTCTTCTTGGCCAGTATTATTGCCATCGTTAATTAAGTGTCTTTGATCTTGTTTCACATCTCAATTACCTTCATATACACTGGCATCAGTAATATCACGGACAGCTGCTGCCTCCACTATGTTTCTAATCACAAACTTCTTGATGGCCTTGTCTTTGGGCACACAGCGGGCACAGTTGGTGCAGCGAACAGGGTTGGTGTGGCCCCTGCCTTTCTTGCTGCGTCCGTTATTACGCCTTTTTTTGGTCTGGAAAATAAGAACTCTTGAGGTTATTCTACAGAGAAAGCTGGATATTGAAGTTTTTTCTTCCTGGGGTATCTAAGGTTTGACTAAACTGACCCTTAATTTAGTCAATACCATATTAACCAGTATTGTTTTGCCATTCAATTATCACAGGGGACACTTTTGGTCTGAGTTACTTCTCCAGCAGGTAACACAACAGCAGTGATATGTATTCCAGAGAACAACTACAAACTGACTTCTTTCCACATTTATTTCTCTGGCTGAGAGATCTGGAGTCTCCTAAGACAGCAGGGACAATCCAGCTATCGGTTCGACTGACCAAACTCACTCTGAGCTCTGATCTCCAATCTCTGATCTCTAATACAAAGTTCTTCTCCTTATATACTAATACACACAAAATACATTACAGTGATTCCTAAAACAAGTCAGAGATATTGAAGCCAATTAACAGAATTAAGACATATTACTAGAGACCTTTAACATAATTAAAGTCAGACTGCTTTAAACTCCAACTAGGGGATGAAGCCGTAAATAAAGTTATTCAATCCTTTTAAAACTGAAAACATCCTTTAAAACTTGGTTACAGTTCTTTCCAATGAATAACATACATAAACAGATTCATATAATATCATTATAATAGATAAATCTGAACAATCTTTACCAAATATTGTTTTAATTTGATTTAAAATGTGAAAGTTTCTAAAATGAAGTTTGGTCGTGAAATCACCACTATGACACAAGTCTCAATAATAGGAGACATTTTCACAATTTGAACAGTACACATAAATAAATGTAGAAAAAATTGAATCTCATAACTAGTGAAAATCTCACCAAGCACCTATGTGACACCGTAAACCCATGCATAACGATGAACTTGGCAACTAGATTGTGACTGAATTATTACTATGGCGTACAACTACTTCTAATACTAGTCTAAACACATGGTCGTAGATAATGTCTCAAATAATAACATAATGAAGTAAATTTAGTTTTCAGATATAAAAATTTAAGTCTTCCAATAACTTCATAAGTCAATGTAAATATAGCATTTAATTTTATTAAATGGTTTAATACCCTAAATTGTTCATTTTATTGGATATGCATAACTTTCCTACCCACCATGTTGAATGCAGACCGGAAGAGAAAGCCATGTGTTTCGTGCGGGAAGCCCCATACTTTTTGAAGGTTCTCTAAAGCAATCGCAGGGCACGGGTAGGCTATCTTATCTGGTTTCTCTGTAGCAATCGTTTTATTGTTCCTTTTCAATCCTTTCTCTTACTAGCGATAGGCTCTACATTTAATTTTAGGTCTACTACAGTTCTGCTAGCAGAAAGCACATTGTCGGTTTTAACTGTAAACATCGTCTGCGGTCAGTGTTTTTCCTTCTTTGACTGTTCAGACTCGGACTAGAGCACAAAAGAGAGGAGAAAGGGGGTGGGGGTCCCAACGAACACGAAATTTTATCTTTGAACTGATTTTTTTAAGGTTTAGAGGGAAAGGTTACGATTTTTAGGTGAATAAGCAGAAGAAAAGTAGAGAATTAATAAATAATTGATAGTTTTTATAGTAAACGTAAATCTAGTTCCATGATCTAAAGGTTGGAGCAGGGTGAGATAGGACTGGAGCGACAAGTAGGCCTATCAAAATGCAAATTATGAATATCCAGTTGTGATGTTCGAAAGGAAAAAAATATTAAATCCCATACTGGACACTCACGTAGATCTGCTAGATGTTATGCAGAGACTCGGATATTTCGTCTTATATCACGAGTACATCTTCAGGGAACTGTCATTACAGGTGACTATGCTGGTGGTATTGGAGCGAAAAGTAGGTAAACGGGCATTTGTCATTTTCCTTCATGCCATGTTTCATGTAAAGGCAATCGATGCGAAATCTTGCTCTATAATCATAAAAAAAAAAATACTTTGATTTAACACGTACGTGTTGTTTGGCCGTTATAGTTCCGTATCAATTGGCAAATTATGACTTACGACAAAATAGGACTCGCAACAGAGATTTAAAACATTGTTAGAAATGAAATAAAATAAAAAAACGAAAGCATAAATAAAACAGTTAAAATGATAAAAATAATAGTTAGGGCCTACATCATTCACATTAAATTCAAGTAATAATAATAATAATAATAATAATAATAATAATAATAATAATAATAATAATGTTGAGCAAAAGAAAAACACCTACATGTAATATGGTCATCTATTAGTCAGACAATATCAGTGGCAGATTTGGGGGGTGTCAGGGGGGTCCTGACCCTCCCTTCGATTTTTGAAAAAAAAAAAATCACACCAATGGTCCCCTCTTGAAATTAGAATTTTGAATAGCTGAATCATAGTTCTAAACCGTATCAAATGGCACCGTTTGCCCTCTAAAATACCTAAAATTTTCGGGGTCCTTCACCGGGCCCCGCACCCCACGCCAAGGGGGGGAGGGGGGGGGTCGGCTTCAAATTATCCTGGATCCGCACCTGAAATCTGACGTGTTTCATTTGAAAACGCACTAAAATAAACTTCTTCCTTCTTTTCGAGCGAACATGTTGAAACGATCATGTCATAAAAGTCTTTATAAAAAGATTTTATTGAAATGACATTTACCCAACAAACCAATCTGGGGCATTTTGTTGTTCTGGTTTATGGTATAAGATATCAGTGAATATAAATGTGTCTATTCACCATTTTTTGGAGGGGAGGGGTAGAACAAAAGAAAACATCAACATGTAATAGGCCATCTTATTTTTTGGACAATGCGTGACGTGTTTCATTTGAAAACGCATTTTAAAAAATTAACTTCCTTGTGTAGGCCTACTCTTCTTTACGTATTTTTCTATATCAGGGTCTCGACATTCTCAAGGCTGCCCACACAATTTGAGATTTCGCATAATATCTGCAGACGTTACGGATTTGGAAATGTACAGCACCTCTGAAAAAAAGATGGTTTTACATTTCACAGAAGAACCAATGGGGGCAATTTAAATATATTGAGACACCCCCATTTCTTCCCAAACATCTTTTCCCGGTGAACGTGCCGAAAAGACCACGTCATTAGTCTTTAGAATGGCTTTTTATTGAAATGACATTTACCCAACAAACCTGACAAATCAGATTATAGATGGTTAAGGAAAGAAGTGGAATGAAAATGCTCTTCGGTTCTTTTTGCGTTGTGTGTTGCACCTCTCTGTATCGAAATGCATTGAGATATTGACTGTTATGTGAGAGAGTCGCCTTAACCGAACCTTTTCGCTCAACGGGCTAATTAATTAACTCAACAGCAAGTGGAGAACTTGTGCAAGGGAGCAGTCATAGCCTCCCCCCCCCCCCCCCCACACACACACACACACACACACACACTCACACACAAAGTATCTTAATTCTGGTAATTAAATTCTTGGACCTTTCAAAGTGGAACAGTACAGACTATACCGCTTAAGTAGGCCTATAGGCCTACTCCACGATTATAAAAATACCGTGCATAGGGCATTATTATAGTTATAATTTTAATATTGAAGGCTTTGTGCAGTTTGTGATTTGTCCTCGGTCATCCTCTTTGCCTGCAACATAACGTTAAATTTGGTTTATATCGTTCATGTACCCGAATTTCTTTCGTTCTTATTAGTTCTTTATTTCTGTCTGTGATTATAGTTTTGTTGGGAGGGGCGTAATCAAGTACGTGACAAGCTGCAGAACATTTGAACGTCGATATTGTGTAATTTGTCCTTTGCGATACGTGGTTCCTCTTGTGCGGCGAACGCACCTCCTCCTACCTGGCGCCCTCTATGTCCTGGTCCTGAACACGCCAAGCAGATCAAATTAACTACAGAAGTTGGAAGGAGTGTACGAACTTTTAATGAATCCGTAGAAGTTGTATATAGTTAAGATCGCCCAAACTTTGTGGCTTAGAATGAAAAACATAATGTTAAAGGACGTACTGAGATGGTCGGTGGTCGTCCTGACGTGGACTATGTGCCCGTGGCTCGTAAAGGGAGACCAACAAAAAAGTAAGTATCGGAAGTATTTGATGTAATATTAGAACTCGTTGATCAGACTCACGATCATGATGACTGTACACGCTGATCACTGTTATTACAAATCCCAATATACATTAAATGTTCACATTTTATTTCTTAAATTCAATCTCGGTTTAAAACTCTAAACTGGATAAATTTTGAAATGTAAACAAAGTTATTACAACACTACGTCGTGTCTCATGATTTATACCACCACAGGACAAGTTGTGTGGCGGTTTAATGCTTCATTGACGACAAGGTATTTTAATGTGATCGTTTAAAACATATCTGAATGAATAATGGATTTATGCAAGAAAATCCTATGTTAGCTGGGAACTAGTATATTTCCACTTCAAGTGTTTTAACAAGAAGTGAGAGTGATCATTACTCATTGATATTACGGGACAATATGCCTGAAAACGTGCATTGAGAATGAATGGGGGTACATGAGGGAGTACACGGGAGGAATAGGGAGAGAGGGAGGGGGTGTTATATTCGTTATACATTATAGGTATTCTAGTTAGGTACCATGACATGGGGACATATTCACAATACTAGCTTCCAAGATTTATACACTGATGTTAAAATTTGTGATGGTATTTAACATGTCCATGGGTTTCAGGCTGTGTTTTGACTTCTTTATAAATTAACTTTCCATTACAGTTTTTAAGCTGTTGGAGTGGGAAGCAGTCCTGAAATGATCCTAAAATGGGTAGTCTCCATAAAAATATTGACATTTTGAAAAAGAAATCGCCATGTATGTCATGAACAATAGAGTCTAATTACTGTAGGTTGAACCAGTGTCACAAGTGAATGATTGAAAATGGGTAGGATAAAGATGCCAATCAATATCTTTTATGGGAGTTAAATAAGATATTGATTCCAGTTTTCTTACTTGATGTACCACCACATGGACCGTGTACATGCCTTGTTTTCATTGAGTAGTTGCTTGTTTTAGTTTTGACATAGTATGATACATTAGATGATTGTGTAATTGTGTGGGTGGAGACAATTAATTTGGCATTAGTTTGACTAGGATATCATATGAAGATCTGGACAGTTCTAATAAAAATGTCAAATGTGATACTGTGATGAGTTTCAATTAAGCTAACGACAAGCACACGAGAGAGTTTTGACATGAGAAATTACAAGAATTTGGTAGGGGGGTCAACATTAGATTATTAATTCAAATAAATCGGTGTTCAAGTAATCTTTGTTACACACTTACTGCATATACAGTATCAATTATAACATTTGTGAAGATGTTCTATCTGCATGGAACAGGTTGATATAGCAAAGGAAGTGGTTGTTGTTATCGCCCTGCGCTTCTGTCCGGCTTTGTATCTGTGGAGACAGATAGCCAGTGTGTTTCAGACATAAGACTATTGATTTAGACTCTAGCCGCTAGGAACACAACCTATCCTGTTTATTGTAATGGATTATTATAATATATCAGTTTGGACTGCATAGAAATATAATGTACAGTGTATCCAGAATTGTTGACCAGTATATGCTACAAAGTTCTTAAAAAAAGATAAAAATTGTCTTTTACAAATTGGGCCACAATGAAGTTCATAAAGGTGACTTGTTTCACTGAGCAGATTAATTGTAATACAATTTTGTTCTCTACAGTAATGGAACTAGGCTGGGAGAACAGCTGCTTTCATGTGGGTTTTTAAAGTCTGAGTAACATGCTTACAGTGTGTTTACTGTACGAAAGTGTTGTGCCTACTTGCACTTTAGCAAATTAGGGCCTGAAATGTCTTCTTCGACATTTGCACAAAGTTGTTAGCTGTATCTTATCTCATAAGGGTTCTGTTTTACACCCAGCCACTGGAGCAACTGGACTCAGACTAGAAATTAGATTGAAGAGCAGTGGCTCAGTAGATGAAGTACAAGTCATGGAGGTTTATGTGAACTAGGGGAGATAATTGTCTCTACTTTGTATTAAGCAGCACGTTAACTTGTCCAGGGTTATATCTGACTTACACCATCATTGGAGAAAACAATAGGCCATGTCATTCTCTGTTCCACATTCATGTGTGTTGTCACTCTCTGTGAAATGGAGCACAGCTTGGCCTATTGTTTTCTGCTCAAAATATGGTTTAAATACAGAGAAAGTGTCTCCATAGTCCATATGTACAGTACATTTTGC